TCAGGGCAGTCTTTTCCTGCTTGAGGGAGTTGTTTTCCTGCTTGAGGGCATTGTTTTCCTCATTCAGAGCAGTCTTTTTCTTCTCCAAAACGGTCGTCGTCTTTGTCAAGGTTGTGTTTTGTGTTTCCAGGGCTGTGTTTTTGTCCTCCAAGTCAGTCTTTTCCTTCTCCAAGGCAGCCTTATCAATTTGTAAGACTGCGTTTTTCTGACCCAGTGCATTATTTTTTTTCTCCAGAGTGGTCTTTTTCTTCTCCAGAGCAGTGTTCTTTTTCTCCAAGTCAGTGTTTTGTGTTTCCAGCGTAGTGTTTTTCTCCTTTAACGCGGTCTTTTGGTTCTCCAGCATAGTGTTTTTTTTCCTTTAAGGCGGTGTTTTGGTTCTCCAAGATCCTGTTTTTCTGTCGCAGTGCAAAATTTTCTTTCTGCTGCGTGTAGGTCCTCTTCTCCAAGGCGTTCTTTTCAACCTCTAACGCGTTCTTTCTTCTCTCCAAGGCGGTCTTTTCTATCTCTAAGGCTGTGTTTCTCTCCTCCACAGCGGCCTTCTCCTTCTCCAAACGAGTATTTTTCTCCTCCAAGGCGATGTTTTCGTTTTCCAAGGTGATCTTTTTCTTCTCCAGAGCAGTGATATTTTTCTTCAAAGTTTTGTTTGCGTCCAACTGTTTCTTTAATTCGTCGTCTTTCTCCCGAACCAGAGCGTCTACTTCAAGCGCAGCTTTTTTCATATTTTGAACTTGGATGTTCAGCTCCTCATTTGCTTTCAGCAGAGACATTCGCTCGATGGACATCACGCTTACTTTTTCTACAAAATCATTGAGCTGCTGCGTCTGAATCGCTATGGTCTCTTGCATTTCCTTGCCTTTGAAATCAGAAGGCTTACTTATCTTATTGCTCTCACTCATTTTTAATTCGTTCTCTCTGGACAAATCTGAAAATCGATCAGAAAATTTACTATTTGCTAGTTAGTGCGATTAGTACAATACTTGTGCTTTCTCTCCAACTGCTGCAATAGCTATGACCGTAGATTCAGAAGTGATGCATTATATCTCCACATAGGGTGCATCACTCTTTGTGACATCAAATTGCGTGATGTCACAAGTTGATGTCACTATCTCAGAAGGACAACTAGAAAACTGCTGAAGTTTGAAGAAACAAACTTTACAGCTGAAGCTGATGGCCACTGGAGACAGTTCAGCTGGTAATACATCACCAAGGCTGAAATCCGCACTTGGGAGACAGCGGCTCTTGAGGACAATGGACTGGCACGGCAGGGTGGCAGGACCAATGGTCAAATGATGCCTGAAAACAGAAAAAGGGGAAACCCAGCTGATGCCTTGGAAGCCACCATTTCTGACTGTCTTTCTGGCCAGTGTCGTCTCACTGGATAAGACAGTGAATTTGTTGCATCTGAGGCTGAGGGTTTCTGCAGAGATGAAGGTCTGTGCCGTTCTTTGCCTGACATAAACCTGCTGGTATTCAGGTATTGTTACCCAGCAACTCACTCATTCTTTGGTTACCTAGCAACAGCCCGTTGCGTCACTTGCGCAGCAGCAGTTTCTGGTTTTGACTCAACATTCAACGGTGAGCTGAATATCACAGTGTTAGCAGTGATTTTTCTGCGAGGACAAAGACAGCTGAAAGACAATCAAGATAAGTTTCTTTTGGAGTTGAATACTTGAACACAACAATAAGACGGCAAGATAATACAACATCTTCTTATCTTGTAAATAGTGTTCGCTGCAAATCTGCAGGGATGGCGGTGATTGTGATTAAAGCTGCTGCAGCTGTTAATCTTTCCTCATTAAAAGTTAAGTTTGGTTTGTATCCTTGTCTGTTTGTGCAGCACCCTGTGGCCATTTTCACTGCAAAATCAACTTGATTAAAGTGACACCATGTGCGTTTTTTTCACAGATTTTAGAGGCGCGGATAGGTTGTTTTGACCTCCGTCATGACGGAGTGGGTCAAGTTTCAAAGACAGTGACGTCGCATGCAAAGAGTCGGTGGAGAAATTAAAAATACTTAAATATGTAGCCAGTGACTGAACCTATCACTGGACACAGTGATAGGTTCAGTTCTTCCAAATCACTTAGTTGTTATAATTCAAGTAAGAGTAGAGATACTTCCTGATCAAATTACTAAAGTAGAATTAAAAAGTACAACATAGCAAAAATATTGTTTTTCAAAAATGTCAAGTAAATGTAATTGAATAAATGCAACTAGGTTATAAAACAATAACTGTCGAAAAAAGGGTGTTTAAATATTCCCCAACAGAAACTAACAAGTCGTCCTGACTGTTTTTTGTTATTCTTAGTCTGGTTGTTTTTTAATAATTTGTTTTATCAGGCTGCATGTTGACGCAGCAGCTCCAGTTTAACTCACCAGGCTGGATTTGCATTTGTGTCTGTGACACTCACAGAGCCAAATACATTCATTTATAATAAAAGAGCGAATTCTTAGTGGCTCCACTTCATAATTTAGCAACATATTATTTAACAAAGTGGTTGTTGATGACTGGAGTTCTGAGTTTCCTGCTAGTCATTTCAGATTCACTCCCAAAGGCTGCAGGTGTTTGATAAAGATGGAGAAAGTTCATATTTTAACTGATTTTCAATTTTTAAATCTTCCAAAACATCAAGGATGTTTTGTTCCTCCTTATTTTGCATTATTTTAAAGTGAAATTTGCTAAAACTAAGCTTGCATTCACACCTGCCCTGTTTATTCCACTTTCATAAAAATCTAGTTTGTAGAAAAACGGAACGAGACTTTGGAGAAAGCAAATTCTGGTTTGAATACAAACCTTGTCACTGTTTGGCTGAAGTGAACGGCTCCAAAACAAAAGCAGGAAGTGAACGACAACGCAGTGGATCCTGGGTAAATACAACCAAAACAAACATGATAATCTGGTGCTAGCAGGAGAAATGACTTGATAAAACAAATATTCTACAACCGCTAAAACCTGACGCTACTCATTTTTTGGAAATGTTTTGTGAAGCAGGAAGTTGCGTTCATGTGTCGTTGGTGTAGCGCTCCCGCAGGCGAGGAGGGGAATATGTTGGTTTGAGTCAGTGTGGTGTGAAAACAAACTAACAGCTGAAAATAAAACAAATGTAGCAATTTTGGTCGGACCAAGTCTATCAGGTGTTAACATGTAAAGACTAAAACATCCAAATAAACATTTACTTTCAGTTTTTGTGATCCTGGAGAAAGTTTTCCCAACATTTGGTTGGATTGGGAGGCAGGCAGTATGTGTTTCCAACACAGCTGTGGAAACGTGCAGGTCTGGTTCGTGGAATCACAGAAGAGAGGAGGGGAGGCAGGGCTTGTTCTGCAGGAGAGACAAGGAGTCCCACAGACTGGCGTCAGCTGTCCGCCGCTCCACAGCTGCAGCAGCGTATTCAGAGCCGGGTCTTTCTCCCTTCACACACACACACACACACACATGAACTCGCAAGAGAGAGCAAGTGTGTGTTTTATGTGTTGTTCCTGGCTGTGACTAAACTGACAGAAGCTTTCAGTGTGACGGAGAAACATCCTTCACCAGGTGTCCTCCAGTTCAGCAGCAGCTAAATCTTCTATCTTTTCCTCCACTGTCTTGCTGTTTCTCACAAATCTTTCCTGTTTTTCTGGTTCACGCCACGAGGTAGTGAAGGAAAAAACAGGAGGCTGGATGTGGAAAAGAAAATCTCTTAGATTTTCCTTAATTCAGATGCTTTCAGACGTCATCTGTAGATGCTTTTCTCCTCTTCCATCTTCTGTTGTTATTCAGACTGTCTGGCATCAGTAAGCAGATAATTAGATATTCTGTCTACGGTGTTGTTCATCACCTGAACATATGATGGTGTGTTACAGCTGTTGTCGAAAAAAAAGGAGAAGTAAGGAGTGAATTTCAGCCAAAGACCTCAGAAATTTCTAGATTCATGTCAGACATCAACAAAATCTTGAACATTTCTGAGATTAATATTCAAACCTGATTGAAAAAAATCCTCTGAAATTCTTAGGTTAATGTCAGTTTTTTTTTGTATTTTTAAATATAAAGAAAATTATAGAGAGTAAAAAAATGTGAATAAGTCCTGACAATTAGAAAAGGTGCTACATCAGTAAAAACGAGGTGCTGTGGCTTAGTTGGTTAAAGTGCCTGTCTAGTAACAGATTGTCCAGGGTTCAAATCCTAGCAGAACTTAAGAATGAGGTGGTCTTTGGACTGATGCACTTTAGTTTTTCCAACTATTTGAAGTTGTTTTCATACTATGTCCTGGCAATTAGTGAAAGTGTTATAATTACAGGTACAAGGTGCTGTGGCTTAGTTGGCCAATGTGCCTGTCTAATAAACAGGAGATCTTGGGGTTCAAATCCCACCAACACCTATGAATGAGTTGGTCTTTCGACCGATGTACGTTAGTTTTTCTAACTATTTGAAGTTCTTTTCATAATATGTCCTGGCATTTAGTCAAAGGTTTATAACTACATATTCAAGGTACTGTGGCTTAGTTGGACAAAGTGCCTGTCTAGTAAACAGGAGATCCTGGGTTCAATGCCAGCAGTACCTACAAATCATCAGCTTTGAACTTGGTATCGTTTTTTAGTTATAATTATTTCATATCGGAATTCAATTTCAGAATATGTCCTGACAATAAGAAAAGGTTATAAGTCAGTAACAATGAGGTGCTGTGGCTCAGTTGGTCAAAGTGCCTGTCTAGAAAACAGAAGGTCCAGGGTTCAAATCCAAGCAGCACCTTTGAATGAGTTGGTCTTTTAACTGATATACTTTAGTTTTTCCAACTACTTGAAGTTGTTTTCATACTGTGAAAGGCAGAAAAACACCTGCACAAGTAGACCAAATGACTCGGCTGTCTCCAACGTTTACAGATTCTTTTCTTTTCGCCCCAAAACAAAAAAACACAACAGAACTCAAAAAGTATCAAACACATGATAACCTGACGGATGTTGAGAATGGGCTGCAGCGTTGAAACTCTCCAAAACTGACACACACTTTGTCTCTCACACAGAGGTGGATCCCTGCGCTGACGGCAGCCATGGCTGCGAACAGGAGTTTGTGAGCGCCGGAGACTCGTGTGTGTGTCGATGCAGGAAAGGCTTCACACTCGGACCGGATGGGAAAACTTGTAAAAGTAAATACAATTTTATGTCTAATTGTCCACAACTTGCATTTTGGGTTTCTAAATACAACATAATAAAACTCATTTAATGGTATTTTGGTGATAGAGTTACGGGATTGGCGGAAAGTCCTGTTGTCACTTTATTAACACTAAAGTGAGGTTTTTGGAAATCCAAATTCTGTGCATTAATCATGAGTTTACTTTCTTCATAGAAAGAGATGAAAATCATTTAATAAAGCAAAATCAGAAATCTGAACATTCATTCTCCAAACCACTTGATTCATGCAATCGAATCAATTAATTTACAGTTAACCTGTTAAAATGTGTAATTTTTTTGATCAGGTTCAAATTTTGAAAAGCTGATTCTGAATAATAAACTCTTCACATTATGAAAGGGTTGAGAGGGATAAATATGAATATATATATTTTTCAAAATCAACATATTAAGGCAAAGTGATGCTCCCTATGCATCATGTAAAAGTTTTATCAAAACATTCACCTCACAATACATTCAGAACAAACAGATGATTACCACCAAAACTTCAGGTAGCTGAGATGACGCCTGTTTGCGTGATGGCTTTTTTTTCCAAAGTTTTTTTCATTTCTCATAAAAACAGGTTCGCAGAACTCACATGGTTCTGATATTTGGCTTTTTCCATGTTATACTTCTTCATTTATCCAAAAATAAATTGCCAAGAAAACTCTAGGACGTCGTCATTCAAAAATGTTTGCTGTTGCTCTTTGCCCATTAGCCAACAAATCTTGAGAAGGGATATTGCTGATGAAGAGAAGAAACTTTTCAGAACTGCTGACAACCCCACACCACACACACACACACACACACACACACACACACACACACACACACCACACACACACACACCCCCACACACACCCACGCACTCTCTCTCTCTGTGTTTCTCACACACAGAAGTGGATCCCTGTGCTGACGGCAGCCATGGCTGTGAACAGGAGTTTGTGAGCGCCGGAGAGTCGTGTGTGTGTCGATGCAGGAAAGGCTTCACACTCGGACCGGATGGAAAAACTTGCAAAAGTAAGTAGATTGCAGCATATTGCGGTTGAAGAAAATGTGAATTTTTTTTAGAAGGGATTTGAGAAGGGCGTGACGTTTCGGTAGCGCCTTACTAAAGTCTCCAACCATTTTGTCGCCTCATGACTGCAAACGTGAGTTTGATTGAAATTTCAAGATCTAGAAACAAAGAGGAATTGTGGAGTGAAGGGGAGAAAATCTTGTTTTTGAAATCTTTTGAAAAATAAAAATGAGAAAAATGTCTGCATTTATATTCATTAACTCTGAATCAATACATTTATTAGGTTTTTCACACTTTCCCCACAAAGCTTGTGGCAGCAAACTCTAAATGAGATCTTTTTAATCATTATGTTTTAAATGTCTGTGCTTTTCCTTTGTCTTTTTTTTTTTAATTCACCAATTAGTGCATTTAAGACAAACATCACACTCTAATAAACAGAGGAACTAATCAACAAAATATCAAATAACCAATTAGACAAGAGAACAATGAACAACAAAAATAAAATAAAACAAACAGAAAAAAATACATTTTGGGAAGAAGTGAGAGAGAGAAGGGAAAAACCATCAACAAAAAAGAACTAATTACTGAATGTCACGTTTTAATACTTTGGTAGTTTCTCCTGTTTCCTCTTTCCTTCCCTGGTCTTTGTTTTCTTAAGAGCACTTTACATCTATATGCGAGTTTGTGAAGATTTTTGAAAGAAAAAATGAGAAAAAGTTTCCAGGGTGTTTATATATATTTTTTAAACAGTTATAATTTCCAGCTACTTGAAAAATCAGCACCCAGCGTTGCATTGTTGCATTTAATAGGCCTTCATGTCACAGAATCTTTGCTATTACAGTCCACTTTCAGTCTTATATTCAAACATTTTGATTCTTTTTAAAATGATTGAATGTTTTCCTATTTTTGATGGTAAAACATATATGTCTGCATACGTCTCCTCCAGAAAGAGAGCAGTGCCTTTGCGGGAATCACGGCTGTGAGCAGAAGTTCATGAATACAGAAAATTCATGTGTGTGTAAATGCATAGAAGGATACACATCAAGATAAGATGGGAAGACATGTCAGAGCGCGTAACAATAAATTCAATTGATTGATTCCTTAATTATTGTCTACATGCAAGTGATGAGAGAAGACCTAAAAACCACAGGAATGAATTCATTTTTGAAACAAAATTGCTGATATTACTATTCTTCTAAATGTCAAAGAATATAGTAAAAGTGGGGGGGGGAAAAAGTCCGTACAAAACCATTAAAGAAGCATTAATTCAAATGCACAGAGGGTATTTGAACCCAGGATCTCCTGTTAATGAGACAGGCGCTTTCACCAGCTAAGCCACAGCACCTTGGAACAGCCGATATAATGCTTTCTCTAAATGTCAGGACATATTGTGAACCTGAATTCAGATATCAAACAATTTGAACAAAAATGTAAATAGATTTAAAAGCCACATTTTCCAAATGCACTGCTGGGATTTGAACCCAAGATCTCCTCTTTAATAGAAGCGTTTTCACAAACTATCCCACAGCACCTTGATTTATGGATGTGACAGTTTCTCTAAATATGGGCACAGATTTTGAATCTGAATTCAAATATCAAGAAATACAAAAAAAGTGCATCAATTATGAATGTAATTTTTACAAAAGCAATGCTGGGACTTGAACCCAGCAGTGCTTGTTTACTAAACAGACAATGTCTGTTAAACGGTGCCTATTTACTCGAAAGGCACTTTGACGAACTAAGCCAAACACCTTGGAACTGCTGAAATAATGTGTTCACTTAATGTCAGGGCATTTTTTGAAACTGAATTCAAATATAAGCCAATTTACACAACAAAAATGCATCAATTCTAAAAACAATTACTCTAAGGCGCATCTAAATTTGAACCCAAGTTCTCCAGTTTAATAGACAGGCTCTTTGACAAAATAGGCCACAGTACCTTGCAGTTGTTGATCCAACATTTTCTCTAAATGCCAGGACATATTGTAAAGAGAAGGTAGCACAAAAACTAAATTACCTCAGTCAAAAAGCCATTTTATTCAAAGGTGCTGCTGCAATTTCAACACAGGATCTCCTGCTTACTAGAAGGTATGTTGATCAACTAAGCCACAGCACCTTGATTTATGGATGTGACAGTTTCTCTAAATATGGGCACAGATTTTGAATCTGAATTCAAATATCAAGAAATACAAAAAAAGTGCATCAATTATGAATGTAATTTTTACAAAAGCAATGCTGGGACTTGAACCCAGCAGTGCTTGTTTACTAAACAGACAATGTCTGTTAAACGGTGCCTATTTACTCGAAAGGCACTTTGACGAACTAAGCCAAACACCTTGGAACTGCTGAAATAATGTGTTCACTTAATGTCAGGGCATTTTTTGAAACTGAATTCAAATATAAGCCAATTTACACAACAAAAATGCATCAATTCTAAAAACAATTACTCTAAGGCGCATCTAAATTTGAACCCAAGTTCTCCAGTTTAATAGACAGGCTCTTTGACAAAATAGGCCACAGTACCTTGCAGTTGTTGATCCAACATTTTCTCTAAATGCCAGGACATATTGTAAAGAGAAGGTAGCACAAAAACTAAATTACCTCAGTCAAAAAGCCATTTTATTCAAAGGTGCTGCTGCAATTTCAACACAGGATCTCCTGCTTACTAGACAGGTATGTTGATCAACTAAGCCACAGCACCTTGCATTTGCTGTGTCATTACCTTTTCTCGACGCCTTGACATATATTGAAAATGAATTCAAATATGAAAGAAAATAAGAAAAACTATGTCAATTATAAATCTAATCATTTGGCGGTACTGCTGGGATTTGAACCCTGGATATGCTGTTAACTAGACAGGCACTTTGACCAACTAAGCCACAGCACCTTGTAGTTGCTGAATTATTGTCTTTTCTATATGTAAAGACAATTTGAAAATGAATTCAAATATGAGATAATTTAATCAAAAAACAACACCAACTACAAAGCTGATCATTTGTAGGTACTACTGGGATTTGAACCCAGGATCTCCTGTGTACTAGACAGGTACTTTGACCAACTAAGCCACAGCACCTTGTAGTTGTAATGATAACACTTTCACTAATGCCAGGACATAATATGAAAACTGCATCAAGTAGTTGGAAAAATCAAAGTGCATGAGTTGAAAACCATCCACAGGTACTGCTGGGATTTGAACCCAGGACCTCCTGTTTATGAGACAGGCACTTTGACCAACTAAGCCGCAGCACCTAGCAGTTGCTGAATTATTGTCTTTTCTTGATGCAAAGACATACTCTGAAAATGAATTCAAACATGAAATAATTTAATCAAAAAAACAATACCAATTAAAGCCGCAAGCGGCGTCGTGCGGCCCGCGCAGCCAAGCGCCGCTCCGGCCTATTGGCCACCGCGGGTACTACCAACCGTTGCCCGATGCCAGCCACCACAGAAGCTCTCACGCAGTTTTCAGCACCTCCACCCGCACCACGGAAGCTGTTGCACAGTTTCCATCAATGCTGCCCACGTTCCAACACAGAAGTTGTTGCGCAGTTTCCGCGCCCGTCCACCAGGCGGTACGCATCGATGCGTTCGGCGGCGCTCCTTGACGGCGCACGAAAAATGTGGAGCAGATTCGTGGATTTAGCGAGGAGATATAGCTGGTTTATTAATAGATGAGATATCTGAGAAAATATTCAATATATTAAAGCAGTAGTCCCCCACCCTGGACCCCAGGGCCCACCGTCCTGCATATTTTAGGCGTTTCCCTGCTGCTGCACACCTGGGTTAAATGAACAGGTGATTAACCAGCTACTGCAACAATTTCAGGAATGCAAAGAAGGAAATGCAGTCATCTGAATTAGTTGTGTTGGAGTCCAGACTCATCAAAAACATGCAGGACAGTGGTTCCTGAGGACCAGGGTTGGTCCACTGTATTAAAGAATATTTACCGAACTCTGATCCAGAACCACACTGCATTCTGGGAAATGTAGGCTGAGAAGCAGCTTCAACCGCTCAACCCACAGGCATAATAGAAGAATAGGCTCCGCATTGACTGCTTGGAGGCAGGAAACACGATGGCCATCTTGGAGAGGTCGTCAATCCTACTTGGCTAAACCAGACGATGCCTCAGCACTGCTGCACATTTTTGTTCAAAATGACGTACTATTCATGTGAAGGCTCGGGACATGACTTTTCAGTACTAGGACAATGTTGTTAATATTTTGCATTAATATATAGGGCTTGGTGTAATACTGGAGTTCAGCTCCCGCTACGTATGCTAACAAATTTATTTAGAAAACCTTCAGACCAAAAATGGAAGATCTGGGAGGTATCTTGCTCCAGCGAGAGGCGGAGTTCACCCTGGACAGGTCGCCAGCAACACAGAGACAGACAGGTGAAAAACAACCGTGTATGCACAGATTCACACCTAAGGATGGGTTTAGAGAAATCAATTAACCTAACAATCATGCTTTTGGACTTTGGGAGGAAGCCGGAGTACCCGGAGAGAACCCACACAAGCATGGGGAGAACATGCAATATTCGTGCAAAAAGACTCGGCACAAAGACCTGGAGGTCAGCCGGAGACCAACGGGGCTCCATACGAAGCCCCGGAGGTCAGCCGGAGAGTGTCCGATGACCTGGCGACAAATGGGATTAGAGAAATCAATTAACCTAACAATCATGCTTTTGGACTTTGGGAGGAAGCCGGAGTACCCGGAGAGAACCCACACATGCAATATTCGTGCAAAAAGACTCAGAACAAAGACCTGGAGGTCAGCCGGAGAGTGTCTGATGACCTGGCGACAAATGGGATTAGAGTCTGATGGTCTGGGAACTCAAGGCCTCAAGTTCCCATGGCACCGCAGTCCTGCGGGTCGCAAGCTCTCCCTCCAACATCTCCCGCCATCAGCCCCTAAGTGTCAAGCTCCCTTGACACCGCAGTGGTTTGTTGTAAAGCTTTTCTGCCCCAAATAATCAAGTCTGAAGTTTTCAGTTGACACTT